ACTAGAGTGATCCGTGCCTATTTCACGGATTCACCTAGCTTAGACCTTTGCAGATGTTTGTACAACTCCAGGTTCTATTATAGTCCTTTACTGGTCAGTTGACCTAGTTCTTTTCCAGTATTCAGCCAGTTCTAGTTACCCTTTGTCTGGAGATCTTGAAATCTTCTACCTTTATTAGACTAAGTTTTCTTCTTGAATCAGACTTTAGCTGATATAGTTCTGTAAAAAGACTGTACTACTTTACTAACTCAGGCTTTCTACTATACAGATCCTCTGCTCATATATCCTATCAAGATTTATTCATATAACATTACACTACACTTTCAAGTTCTGATCAATTTGGTATAACTCAATTTATAGAGTACACTCTCAGAACTGAACAGAGTTTATTGTAATGTATCACAAGATCTGAGAAATTATTCAAATTCATCGACAGTAGGATTTGAACTCCAGACCTATTGCATAGCAGTCTGACAACCTAATCACTATACTAGATTGCCAGACCTTTTTTACAAAATTTTAATCAAATATATCTCAACAACTATTTGATTAAAATTAATAAAAATTTTTTATTTGAATTCTACAGATCTGCAAAATTCAAAAAAAATTTTTTATCAAATTTGGTTAAGTAGTTGCTAAAATATCTTTAATTAAAGTTATTTTTTAATTTTTTTTTTTTTTTTTTTTTTTTTTTTTTTACATTGTTACAAATACCATTGGCATAACTTTTATTAGATTATTATAGTTACGAAATATAATTCATATTGTGAGAGTACAACTAGCCATATATACAATTTTAGATTGTCTATTTTAAGTAGTCCACCTGAAGATTTTACACTAGCTACTATATTTGTAACCTCTTAGAAGATTACCTATTTAAACTCTCTAGTTCTATTTCACGTTCGCAAGTATAGTATTACTAAGTTAACTGTAATCCTATACTACTTCACTTTAGGAGACACCCAAGCTGACATCTGTTATATACTTTACTATTATGAGCTTAGGGTCTTATCAAATAAGTCCTCACTTCAATGTCTTCTAATAGATGGGTGATATGATACCCAACTATACTACGCTATATCCTAATCTAGCTTGCATATACCCTTATTCAATATTCGTACAAACCCAGTTTTAGCTATGGCCCTTTACTAGATTAGACTTCTGTGTCTTTCTGAATATTTCATAGAATAGATTCTCCTAATCTAGTTAGCTGCTAAGCCAAGTTGGTATTGCTATAACATCTAATGTTATGGACTTACTAGCACTTTTTCTGATCTGTATCTTCATACTTAGAAATCTTTACCAGATCAAGCATTAATTAGTGTGACTGTTGAAATCTGTACTACTTCACCTAACTTGAGATTTCTACCATACAGGTCCTTTGTCTGTAGATCTTATCTCAATTTATTTATATAATGCAACTTCAATATTCCATTACACTTCCAATGTCCAAACAACATTAGTGCAACATAATTTACAGGGTTATAACTCCAGAAATGAACAGAGTTTACTATAAGTTGGATACAGATATCTAGGTAATTATTCAATTCTATTGACAGTGGGATTTGAACTCTAGACTTCTTGTATAGTAGTCTGATAACCTATCTATTACACTAGATTACCAAACCTTATTTTTAAATTTTAAAACACCTATTACAAAAAACTATATTAAAAAAAAACTCTCACTGCTTTTCCTTACTTTGATAAACATACAAAAAACAAAACTTAGATATTACTATAAAAAACTCCTCTATACCATATTCTTTTAAGGCAATAAGCTCAAGAAACAGGAAAAAAAAACTTTTAACTTTCAACATGAGTAGTCTTAGAAGTAAAAAGCTCAAGCTTTTAAACCAAAAAATAGAAAACAAAATCTTTAATTTTTTATCAAACCAAGAAGAAACCTTTGACAAAACAGAATATAAGTCTAATACTAGATTGAAAGATAACTTAGAAATTAACTCAGATAAAAACTCTTTAGAAAATACTAGCTGAGCTGATAAGGTTGAAACAGAAATTTCTTCAGAAAATAAAGAAAACCTTTTCTTTATGCAAACAAAAGAGCCTCTAGTAAACAAAAGAAAAACAACAAAAGAAAATTTAGTAAAAACAGATAATCAAAACAAATATGTGTTTCTTAACAATAAACACATGACTAAAACTCAAGAGGCTACCTCCTTCTAATTAAATACAAATATTACCTCAAATAACCAAAATAACAATACCTCTGTTAATAACTCTTTCAAGTCAAAACAGTAGTTAGAGGCAAAGCAACCTTTGTCAGATATAGAATTTACTCCAAAAATAAGAACACTCTTATTTTTGATATTCAAAATTTAAGGGTAGAGTTCAATGTTATCATTTTTCATATGATCTTGATAGTAAATTTTTTTTATTTTTAATATTTTAAAAAATTTTATTAAGTTAATTATTTTAGATTATTAAGTAAAGTTTGTAGAATAAGTTTTTCTAATTTTAATGATAGTAAAATTATTAAAATTGGTTAAATATTTAATAAGAAATATGTATTTAAAAATTAAGTATTATTTTTGTTATATTATAATCACATAATATAAGCTAATCAAAATTGCTAATTTTGTATCACTACAGAGAATTTAAGGTCACTACAGGAAACTTTACAACATATACAAGTATATTTTTTTTAAATATTTTGATTATTAAATTTTATACTATTATAAAATACATGTTTTAATATATATATATTATAAAATTTTAATAAAAATTAAATATAATTATAAAAAGTTTTATTAGTAACATCTTTTAATTTTTTATAAAAATTTTAATTAGATATGCAAATCATATAAAAAATAATCTACATCAGACTCTACCCTTAAGTAACATCACTACTAATATTATTATCTTAGCTCTTGTAACAAAATTAAGAAATAAGCTAGTAATAGCTAAAGCTTATATCATCAGAGGTAAAAGAGTTTACTTAGAAGTTATATTTAATAACCAGAACTCACAAAAATTCTATAAAAAAGAAGGAATTAACCTCTTCAAACAAACTCTCTTTAGCTATATTCTATTTAATTTTAAATATACTTTTCTCTTAGTTAAGCTTAGAAACACTCTAATAAGAAATAAAGATAAAATAAGTACTCTTATCAGAGAAGCATTCCAAAACTTAGGGTCAATTGCCTTAATTAAACCTCTTCTTTTTGAAGGTACCTCTGTTTGTTCAAACCAATAGATTATCTCCTTTGAAACAACAGATGACTCAGACCTGTCTACAAGACTACTCAAAACTACTCATGTAGGAGATTACAAAGTTACTACTAGCTAGAAGGAAGCTTTAAAAGTTTGCTATTACTGTGAAAAGAAAGAGTATATAAAAAAAAATTATGAAGAACTCAAATACTCAATCGAGCTAAGATGTCTATACAAAGAAAAAAAGGCTCAAAAAAATAAAACTACTATAAGCTCTAACTCCTCCTTCAGCACAAACAATTCATATATCACTGAAATAAATGAGGTTACTATAGATAACAATAAACTTTCTACTATAGAAACTAGTACAACTACTATATACTATCAAGAGCATCTTCTTACAAAATCAGTAGCAGAAAATCAACCTCTAACAATTAGTAACTTAGAAATTCAGGAACAAGCTTTAACTGTAACTTCATCTTCTGCTACAAATATAGAAATTAAAAGTATTGATACTGATCAAGATATTATTCTAATAGAAACTAATAAAAATAATAGTGCAGATAATAGTATATTTATAACAAACATCTTGAAAATATCTAAAAACAAATCCAAAAAGAAAGAACAAAATTACACCAAATAATCAGAACTAATAAGAAAAAAAGATCTTGTATCTGATAATGAAGCAAAAAATAGTCACTACTAAGAGTATTAAAATACTCAATGACTAATTCAAAAAACTTTTTCTTTTATATGAACAAAATGAAAATAGCAATACTGAATATAAAAGGCTTAAATAACAAGTCTAAAGCATAAAAAACAATTATACTTCTAAAATCATACAACTTAGATATTATTTTTCTACAAGAAACAAACCTAACAGATATATCAACTAGAAACTTTCTAGTATATCAATAAAACTACAACTTAATTTGGTCTTCCAAATCAGCTATTCTAGCTGAAAACAAAAAAATCAAATATTCTGATTCACAAAAACTTAAAGATAGTCGAATAATTTTAGCAAGAACTATATATAAACATTACAATTATTTTCTAACTAATATCTAAGCCTCTTCAAGACAAAATAAAAGAAGAGACTTCTTCAATAACTGGACTTCTCTAAGAGATAAAGAGGTAGTTAACATCATTGCTAATAATTTTAATATCAATATTAACTCAAAAAAAGATCATATCAGTTAAGCTCATCTTCAAAAAGATTCATCTAGTAATCTTCTTAAGAATCTTGTATTAGACTTTACTGATACAGCAGAAGCTACAAGATCAGGTTCATTTCTAACTTTTTATCAGACTATTCAGAGTAATCAAAGATGACTACATGATTAGACTACATTTTCATTGACTCTAACTATAGTTAATTCTGCAAAAATACCTATACTTATTTTGAAAACTCTAATCATCTTCTTGTAGAAAGCAAAATAGTCTTCAATTCAGAATCTGTATTTAGCTCTTTCTGGAAATTTAACAGAAAGTTTTAGTTAATCTTAAATCTTAAATCAGAAATTTTTAGAGAAATAGAAAGTATTCAAGATATTAACAACTAGAACTCTTATAAGGTTATCTTCTAATCAATTTGCAAAGCCTTTAAGCCAAAACTAGTACTAGAAAAAACAATAGATTCTATTCACAAAAGATTAGTCATAATTAATAACAGAATAGCTAAAAATCCAATTTTAGAAGATCTTCAAATTATAGCAGAAAATCTCAAACTACAACTACAAGAAAAGCTTACAATCCTCTTAGAAAAATAGCAAATAAGGTCTAATACCAAATAGATAGAAGAAGGTGAAAAATCTACTAAATACTTCTTCTCACTTTATAAATCCAGATATTCTACCTCATATAGTACTAAAATTATAAACCCAAACAGTTCTAGTACTCCAACTCTCTCAAACTCACTATAATACATTAGAAACTCCTACTAAGATATCTACAAAACAAATCTAATTAATCTTAATGCAGCAAAAGAACTGATACAAAACCTTCCTACAGTCTTATTAGACCAAAATAATACTCTAATCAGAACTATAACAGAAGATAAAATCAACAAAATTATTAATGTACTTTCAAATAACAAATCTTCAGGGCTCGATAGTTTAATATATGAGTTTTACAAGAATACCAAAGAGAAAATCACTTTAGTTTTAACAAAGCTTTTTAATCAGATTCTTGATTATGGAACTAGTTCATATTCATGATACAAGAGCATTATTATACTTATACTAAAAAAGTCTGATAATTTAGAAAATATTAATAACTGGAGACCTATCTTACTTATTAACTGTAATATAAAGATCTTTATAAAAATCTTAGCTAACTGACTAAACCCTATTTGTAATGAAATTATTAGTCCTTCACAGCAAGCTTTTATTGCTAACAGGTTAATTATAAATTCTGTTCTCAATATTATAACAATATTAAAGAATTAAAATAACTAATCTAAACAGTATTGGCTCCTCTTTCTCAACTAACAAAAAGTATTTGATCACATCAGCTACTAATTTATGAACCTTATACTAGAGAAGATGAGCTTTAGTTCAAAAATAGTTAACATTATTAATAATTTATTTGTAATACAACAAGCTTATATCTCAGATCAAAGAAGAATATCAGAACCCTTCAAGGTTGAAAGAGAAGTTAGACAGAGTAATCCACTCTTACTATTTCTCTATATTTTAGCAATAAATCTACTCATCTAAGCAATATACAATAATATTAGAGATATAAACCTTCAAGACCTTTTATTCAAAGTAGCAGCTTATGCAGATGATTTGACAATAGGCATCAGATCTTTTTTTAACTAGTCTAGCCTTAAAACTATATTTCAAAAATATAAGCTTGCTTCTAACTCCAAAATCAACAAAACAAAGTTAATCTTAGCTTCTTTCACAGACTATACATACTGAGTAGAGCTCTCTGATATAAATAGTTTCAAAATATTAAAGAACAATGATGAATATCTTAAGATACTTGGTTTTGAAATAATTATTAAAGGAAGTATCAGAAAGGACCTTTGGTTAATCTTACTAAAAAAATCAAAAAGAGTTTCTATAATCTTTTATTGAAAAACCTATTACTTAAAAGCAAAATCCTAATAGTAAAGACTTTACTAATTTCTAAAATTTGGTATGCAATTTATCTTCTCCTACCTAATAAGAAACAGTTGAATATGATAAATACTCTTATCAGTAACTGAACTAAGAACAACTCAAAGCTACTTCTTTAATACTTAATATTTTAGCTAAACTATAAATATAAAGATCTTTTAGCTCTAATCTTAAAAGATATACTTAATGCCAGACTAACTTCGATTTGGCTCAAACTTCTATCTAGTGATTCTTTTAGGCAAAAGCAAAGAGAATCTCTGCTACTCATAAGATTCAAAATACTAGAGGTATTCCAGTATCTCAAACTCTAACTCTAGACTCTATTAAGCTCAGAGATTGGTCTGATTACTAAAAACCTTATCTAAAGACTAAATAGCTAAATAAACACAGTACAAAGCTAGCCTTGGCCTCTAGATCTTATTAAAATTAATGATACTTCTAGTAAAATCTTCTTTGTAAAAATAGTAGTTAGGACTCTCTACTACAAATCTACTACTAACAGTATTCCTCTTATCTATAACAAAGAGTATGAACAAGTTCTTAAAGTTTTTAACTAGTTTCATACTGAAAAGGTTCTTAACAAAAAAAAGAATATATTCTAGTACTTTATTTATAAAGCTTTACTACTTGAATACCACTTAGTATATATCTCAAAAGATGATACAAGCTGCTATTCAAATTATTCTAATACTGCTCAAACTTTATTTCACTTTGCTTTGGAATATGAAATTAGTTAAAGAATATAGAAAACAATATATTAAACTTTAAATATCTTATCTGAAGATAGTTACCTATTCTCACTAGAAGAAATTATCCTAGCTACAAATATTCAAGATATCTCAAAATATAAATTAGCTCTTTGGATATATATAAACACTCTCTATGAATTTGGTGCTAGTATATACAAGCAAATAAGGCAATAAAATTATTAGCGAAAAGATAATCTCTAATATTACTAAAATTAGATTTAAAAAAGAACTCAAAATTATACAAAAAACTCTTTTATTTAAAAATAAGCAACCATCTAGCTATAGCTCTTTAAAATTTATTAACTTTAATATATAAACAAAATTTTTTCTTTTAATCTCAATAAAAACAAGCTATACACAACTCTTTCCGTAGATCATTCGAACCAAATTTGGAGCTAAAGAAAAACTATAGAAAACTCCGAAACTAGATTAGGAAACTAGTAAAACTCCACTAAGAAA